CAGTTTTCAATTGTATGGTGCCATTTTCTATGCAGCTCAACAAAATTGAAAGATTTGCAGAATGTCTGCCATTTACTTGAGCAAAAGATGAGAGCAATTTCAAAGCTCATATACTTTTTTAAAAGCATACCACACGTTTTTACTCAGATCCCACCTCAATTTCTGCCGTTGTTTTTAAGGCCAAAAACCATACAGTTTTCATTACCAATTCTTCATTTTTTTTCTTCATAACTGCAATCAAAGGAAAAATGTTTCGCCTTAACACGTTGGTGACGTCATCAATGCCCGTCATCAATGTGTTAAAAACAACAACAGAAATTGTGGGCCTCAAAGTAGCCCTTACCTGTAGACCTATTATACAACTCTTATGTCAGACAATGAGACAGCCCAGCAAACAATTTGAAACACATAACGCTGAATCAACGTCTGTAACATTGGTACAACATAGCCTTGTTTGCTGGGAGGGTCTTCTACTCGAAGAGAAACAACAGGCACCTTGGTTATAAAAAAAATAACAATGTAACTGCAAAAATTGCGTGAAATAGCCATTCAGCCTGGGATACTTGCATTCCATGTTGTACGATCTTCAGCTTTGGCGCGATGTTATGTAGAGCAGTAGTGTTACCGGAACCTCTGGACCAGATGGGTTGAGTTGAATTTTTAACTCGTTAGGATGTTTCATATTGCGTGGCAAGATTGGTCTAAATGGTGCTACGGAAGAAGAGATTTCCACATGAAGTACATTGAATTTCTTGTATAGTACTACCAGTAAATTGCCATGCCCGATTTCCAGGGGGGGGCAAGTGCCCCCCCTTGCTCCTGGGAGCGGACGCCCATGGCTTGGTGGAAATGGCGCCGATGAGGTCAGGGATGTTAGGGGTTTTGTAGCATACTCCTTGTTCAAAAATCCCCACAATCAGAAACCACAAACCGTCAGGTTTAATAGCAGTTGTTAAGAAAGGTCTAAAGAAAGGCTTTCGATTGATACAAAACTCATTTCCATCAGAAAAAAATGAGATAATGATGTAAAAACTTGGGGCGGAGTTTCTGGGACACCCTGTAGATGAATTGGAACTCGAAAAGCAGGGGTGTGCTCCGAACTCCTCGCAACTCCATAGCAAAGTGGTGAAAGTACTCCATAGATCAGCAGCCTCCGCTCTGACCTTCACTTGACACCCTTTCTCCTTCCCCCATACCCCGTCCTCCTCACAGCCCCTCATCCTTGAACCCCCCCCCTCCTCATACCCTCTCACCCTTGAACCCCGTCCTCCTCATACCCCTGCCCCTCAAACCCTCTCACCCCACTTTTATTTTGACTTTTTGGACCTCTGGCGACGCCCCTGCATTCGATACGAGGGCGGGAGTGGGTGGGTGGCACCCGTCGAAGGCGCGGTTCTCATCGCCGCGTGGATCGGGTTCGCGACGGACGCGTCCCCGCGGCCGCACTCTCGGCGGAACGGGATCGCATCGAGTCGAAAAGAAGTCTCGGAGTGTGTGGCAGCGGAATCCTTGCGATCGGACCGCACTCGACGGGTGATCTCGGTGGAATCTCTTGTGCTACTCGAAGGCCCTCTTGCGATGCGACGATGCGGGATTCGCCCGCATCCTAAAGGGAACTCTCCGAGATGGGAAACGCACGGGACGGGGAAACCGGTGGCCGTTCATACTCATCCTTACGATCGCTCCGAGCCGACTCCATGTCTTCCTCTTCTTTTAACGCTCCGAGCCGTCTCTACTCCTTCCGTCCGAGTCGTCCATCCAGTCGTCTTTCGTCGAGGGCATCGACGCGATTCACGACGTTAGGCATCCTTAGATTCGGCGGTTTCCGTCCTACTTTCGGCACACCCTCGTCTCGAGCGGGTCGGGGCATACTTTATTCCTTCGAATCCGTTCGGTACGGCACCTGATGTAACGTTCGGTACTACCGGTACTCGTGGATCCGTACTCGAGATCCGGACGAAGAACGGGGACGGTGGAGTCCGGGGGTCCGGAAGGGGTCCGGAGCGAGCGAAGCGCAATCTCTCGGGGGAAATCCAACCGCGACGCTCGGTCCCGGAAACAGAACGGCCATCGTGGAGAAGCGTGCCGCCGCGCACTGGTTCGCACCGATGCGAGGAACTGGTGCGAGCGTCTTCGCGTCCTCCGAGGGAATCGGGTCGTCTGTGGCCGCCGAGCCGCAGGAAACGGACGGATTTCTCCGGCACGCCAACCTATGGATCATTCGAGCGGTCGGGAAGAAAGACTGTCGCTTCCTCTCGCGCTGCGTCGCGCGAAAATGCCATTGCGAGACGACGGTCTTTCCTTGCGAGTATGCAACCGTGACTCCAAGCGCTTCTACGACTCGCTCGCATCGCCGGCAAGGATCGTAAAAATAAATCACGCTCCCGAAACGCAGCAGGAGGTATCGATGCCGTTCGGCTCGTCCGACGCGGATGCGAAAACCAATTGCAAAAGCGAAAACCGTTGACACGGATCGAATCGAATCGAAAAGTACTCGGTGATCGAGAAGACCGGTCGACGCGGACCGCGAGAACGAAGGACGAAGGACGAGAGGGAAATTCGGAAGCAGACGAAACGGGCGGTATGCGATCGTTCGAGTCGAGACGGGAACGACTGCTTCGAGGTCGACGCGAAGTATGCGACGATCGGCACGGCGGTCGTCGCAGGCATCGTGGTAGGGCGTAGGAACGGGACCGAGAGCCTCTGCGACCGGCTAACCAGACGCGCGAATCGGGAGCAGAAACCTTCCACCGAGTCCGATTCTAAACCCACTCTCTCCGTAAATTCGTGCCCTGGGCGATGGTGTGATCGGTTTCACATGAGCAACGGCGCGGAAAACTCGCTGATCCCACTTTTCTTCCGATGCGTTCAAACTTCGATTCCCTTCCTTTTTCTCGTTTCCCGCTTCTCTATCGTCCGTCATTCGTGAAACCACTCCTTTCCTTATTTACTTCCTTCCTTCCGTGATGCTTCCATGTCAAAATACACGAGCCTCTCTCTCGGCTGCTATCGAATTCAAACTTTCATCGGTCGATTCGGTTAGGTGGATTCCGATTCCGTTCTATCCGAAATTCAAGGGAAATGATGCCAGCAAAGAAATGTGGGTACTCGACGAGACGTTTCGTAAGAACTATACGAGGTGTAACGAGAAAGTTCCGAGACTGAATTTCTTATGAGTCTGTTAACATCGCAGAAGTTCTTGTCATTGACTGATATATTAATATTAGACCTTTGGATTGTGTTGTGTGAGTTCACATCTGACTAGTATCGCGAATGAGAGTTCGGCTCACAACGTGGCAACTCGGCGTGTAAAGCGTCTGTTGTATTCTCAGAATGAGGCAATGCTATATCAAATTCTGTCTAATACCGGGAATACAGCTGCAGCGATCCATCAAGTGTTGCAATGAATGTATCGGCAGATTGCCTTCCCAAGAGTTTTGAACGATTTTCAAGGCTTTCTCTAAGTAGAGAAGACGTTGAAGATGATGACTGATGCGGCCATCCCTTTGGTGAATCATTGGCGGTGGTTGGGATTGTGGCGGATCTCAACGTCTTTCCTACTTGCTGAAAGCCTTAAAAACCATTCAACATTCTTCAGAAAACAACTAGCATACGTCTCAGCCAGCCGTTTACGATACTTTTTGCGCTTCAACCGAGACGTCATATTTACGTCCTCGGGACGTTTCGGAGTTCATATGAGTTCTTTCTCGACCGAGTGCAAAGAGGCTTTTCACATCTAAAACGTCGCACTTTCTCATCCACGGTTTCCGTTTTCTGTCATTTCTTCCCCGCCATCGGCTTCCTGCCTCTGTTCCGATTTTCGGTTTCAGTAATGTTTTCGCCTTTTCGTGCAGAATGTCCCTGGGACTTGGGGGAGGCCGGGATTCCCTACATCATCCTTCCATTCCACGGACAGCTCCTTCTGCCCCCAGGCTCCATCAATATTCCTGGTAAAACATGGGTTCTCTTTTGTTTCCTTCTTCTTCATCCTCTTTCCAATGACAAAACTAGGATTCATCTGGCTTTTTGAAATTCCATACTCCCCTTCCAATGACATGACGATGAACAGTGACGAAAAATTTCCGTTGCATCCTGGTTATTTCGATCTATTTTAATTTATAGTAGAACCATATGTACAGGGTGGGTCAAAAAAACGGACAGTTTTCAACGATGAGCTATACTGCACTCAATGCATATATTTTAATGCGGTTTGCGGCATTTGAAAGAGGAATGATTAGCTTTAACATCATGTACTTACATTTCAAATATTATCAGCAGTTTAAGAAATTCTGAAGTTCGTATGAACAACAAACAAAAGCTGTGTTGTTTTTGCAGCAATGGGGATGGACAGGCGGCTCCTGAAGGTCACAGGCCCTCTAGTTTTGTCCAAGTGCACGGCGATGCAGTTTTTGCTTCTTCTTCTTATGAGCTTCTGAGTTTTTAAAACTATAGAATAATTAGAAATATAAGTAAACCATTTAAAAGCTAATAAATTCCTCTTTAAAATGCCGCAAACCGCATTAAAATATATTTAGTGAATGAATTGTAGGGTATCATTGAAAACTGTCCGGTTTTTTTGGCTCACCCTGTATAACAGTGGGTAACAAAGTCAGGAATAATCGGAATAGCTTGGGATCGTTCCTGTCTAGAATACTTAGAACTAACCTATCAGTTTGTATCGATATTGCAATGCCAAAATTATATTATTTATAAAATCAGGTCCAAGTGACCCTAAGCGATTCGGACTCCAGGTTCAATTCAGCCAAATTATTCACGAAAGGAAATTAACAATGACTCAATTTGACCCCTCGATCCAACTTGAGTCTAATAGAGGTAGAAGTAAGAGGTAGTAAACAGCCATGTATAAATGCCTCAGGGAAGATAAGCAACTGCGATCAAGTAATCTCCTTCAATTTTAAATGCTCGAAGAAACATTGTGCAAGTGCAATTTAATATTCATTGTTCAGCATCTATAGTTTACTCGAGACTTGATGGTCAGTGCCTTACAGCAACGTTTTGTGTCCATCTGTTGGCAGCACTTGCTGTGCATGCAATTGATGTGAAATAGGCAACTCCCTATGTGGCACGTGCGCCTTTCATGTGACGTTCTCCCTGACGTCGTTACCTCATTCCCCAAGTTTCACTGAGCTGCGATGCTTGGTTTTCATGTTCGAGTGCTGTACCCGTATCAAGCGACTTCGTATTCGCCCTGTAGTACCATAAGTTAATAAAAGGATTTCCATTAGCAAATTCTATCTTTCCGCCACCTGCCATCATCGGATGGATTGAAATACATTGGACGTAATGAAGGTGGAGGATCGTGCGAAGTGGAGAAGGCGGAGATGCTCACATCGGACGGATGGACGGCCGCCAGCAAGTCTTCCTCTATTTTCCGCCTCTTCCCAGACGGCAAGCGCACTTTCCTCCAGGTTGGACTTGTCTTCCTGTCCCATGCCACCAATGAGAAAGAACGAATTTTTGGATTTTTGAAATGTTACAAATGGATTTTTAACATTTAGAAGGTAACTTAATATGAGGAAGAGAATGGTTAGCACTAAAAATGAGAATTCGCGGAAGATAAAAAGGATACGAATGAAGAAAAACTCTTCGTACCCTGAGTGTGTAAATGATTGACTCTAGTGGCTCGGGAAGGACTCAGATCGACGTGACTTGGAAGGCCAACTGATCGTGATCAGAATGACCTGCGGGGACCTCGATGGACATCCTCCATGCCTGGCCTTCCGTGCAGCTGGGACATCAGGTCAGCTTCGAAGTATTTTATCTTCACCTGTAGACGTCAAGTCTTCGTAACGATGACGGCGGGGTCGTATATCTTCGTTTATCCTTTCCTCGATGCATTCGTGTCGTCACGATTCGCGTCGTGTCGGCTTTCTTTTGTAGGGTTACCTCTCGGCCGCTTTTGTTGATATCGTAAGGTCGTATATTGGGGAGTTTCGCGTCGCTATACGGATCCGCCCGTTCCCGAGCAAGAATTGCTTGTCGACGTACCCAATTTGATAAAGTTTTCTGCTCCCAGTGACCTGGAGTAAGGAGGAAGAGAAAAAAGCCGAAGAAGTGGAAGAAGAGGACTGGGAGGCCAGGAAGATAGACGATTACGTAGTGATCGGGATGTGCGCCGGAATCTTGGCCCTCATATACGTGTTGGCCGTGATCGTGTTCGTGACGGTGAGGAAGGGACGATGGAGACAGACACGTCGCCGGAACAAAAGTGTCGCGAACGGAACGGGGAGGCAAGTCTTCCGTTTGGAATGCGAGTATCCCGCCCCCCCCGTCATCCCCAGGCCTTTTCTCATGCAGGTGAGTTCCTTCTCCTGCCATCTCTACTTTCCTTCGTTTCCGGTTCTAGTATTCCGCTTTCGTTTTTCTTTAAATTTCGTTTGCATTCGTTCGATTCCTCGCGTCGCTTCGTTTGCATTTTTTCATCGAGCAGTCGCACGTAGTCGTAGTCGAGCTTTCGCGAGCGTTCGCCTTCGTTCCTCGATTTTCGTGGGTCGAAGGAACGGATGGAATGATGGAATGTGTGATTCTCGTGGAAAGCACGACGAGCGTCCGGGAAGGCGAAACCCTCGGCTCGGGAACGAGGAGAAGCCTCGGGAAGAGATGATCGTGGAAACGGAAGTCATGCAAGCCTCGCTCGCCCCACACTCAGGCTTCGCTTCCGCGGCCCAGCAGAGAAAAAAACTCTTCTTCAACCCGGCCTATTTCGAGCCCGAGAACCTTCAGGTGAGATTCGGATCGTTTGCCTTCTTCCCTTTCGTCTTCGCCTTCTTCCCCTTTCCCGGATTAGCGACCGCTGTTTCCGGGTCCTCCCAGGTGCCTCCCCCCGGAGCGGTGGAGTTCTTGACGAAGATCCGGGAGATGATGAGCGCGGCCAAGACAAAGATCAACGCGAAACGGTACGAGCCGAGTCTGCAAGAGATCCCGGAAGAAGAGTCGTACGGATCCTCGGTTCCGGAGAAAGCAGAGTTTTCCGACCCGACGTTCCGGACGGACGGTAGCGAGGGAGACCGAGAGAGGATTCGCCGATGGCTCGACGGCACGAGCGGGCAGGACGAGCACGAAGATCCCGACTCCGGGGTATCGCTCAACAGCGGCACGAAGTCGGACGGCTCCGGAAGCAACGAAAGTACGGGTCGGCTCCCGAATTCGACGAGCGGGAAACGGGATTCGGATCGGGTCCTCGCCGACATCCTGTTCGAAGCGCAGTCGAAGATGCCGAAATTGGCTCGTGCGGCGAGGGCGACGGCAGCACGGATCGCCAGACGACCGTCGTTCCCCCGGTTCCTACCGAAAGCCGAAGAGGTGACCGTCGGCAACGCCGTCTATCGTACCGCACGGAAGAGTCTCCGCAAGCCGGTCGCGGATCCCGAGACCGGCTCCACTTCCTCGGTTTCCGAGATCTACGTGAACGACGAGTTCGAGACCGACGACAGCTCCCGCGGAAGCAGTCTTCCTCGCGCATCCCGATCGGTGGATCACGTCAGTCGACTCACGATCCGCGTGTCGGCCGACTCAGACTCCGACGAGGAAGAGAAGGGTCCCAGAAGGATCCGACGGAAGCCTTCGCGAAGGGAGTCGTTCGTGGATTCCCTCGAGAGGCCGAAATGCGGGAAAGTGAGTCGGCGACCGAGCATCCTGGACGACTCCTTGGAACGCCCCGTCGAAAGACCGTCCGAAGGGGTGAGCTTGTGGAAGGCTTTCGAGGCCAGAGCGAAAGCTAACAAGAGCGATGGGAACGCGAACGGCGGGGATTCGCTCTACTCGCGGCTGCTCGTGGCCCGGAAGTTCCTCGATGCTTCCGGTAGCAGCGACGCGACTTCGTCCAGCGTTGGCAGCACTCTCAAGCGTACCTTTCGGGACCTGAGAAACCGTTCCGGTGGTGGAGGCATCGAGATACGGACGATAGTGAGATCGAAGAAAATCCAGGACGCACCGGCGTGGAATCCCGACGACGTGGCTCCGGATTCTCTCGCGATCGACTTGCCGCCGTCCGTGAGACTCGAAGAGGAAGGCGGCAGCGACGACGAAGAAGGAATCGATGCGAGCGACATCTCGACCCGAAGAGTGGAGGCGCGTCCGAATCCGCGATTTCATTCGGGGCTGAAGAAAGCGAACTCCGTGTCCGTGCCGCCCGACCGCGAACTCCTGCAGCGACTGGGACGATTGCAGGCAGAGACGTGGAAACGGGCGGGAACTTCGGATTCGGAACCGTCGCAAGGTATGACGATCGCCCTGAACCTACGGGAGCGGATGCGGACGGAAGAGGAATCCAATCTCCCTTCTCGGGAGGCATCCGTCCGGAAGAAGCTGAAGAAGCTCCTGAGGACCGAAAGCTGCACCATGGAGTCCGCCACCTACGAAAGCGTCGACGAGGTACTCGCGAGGTTCAAGCAGTGTTCCGAAACGTGCGGCGGGAAATCTCGAGACTCCGGAATCCCGTCGCTCGCGAGAGTCCACGGGACCAAGTCGAACGAGGCTCTCGGGACGAGGATTCTGACGTCCGACGATCGCCGGACGAGGTCGACGACGGCGAGAGAATCCCATTGGTCGAGCGGTCCCAGGTGAAACACTCGGAAGGAAGGCCGGATCCTCTGCTCCTTTTACGTTCCTCTTACGTTTCGTCGATCTGTCCTTTCTTACAATAAACCCTCCGAGTACAAGCGAGGCGATTTGACTCCGGGAACGCGCGGAATACCTTGGAATGTGGCTTTCGAGCCGAGGAACTTTGGCGACGCCGTTGCGAAATGGGCTCTCCGTTCTCCTCGCTCGACTCGGGCGAACGAAAGGGTATACTCTTAGAAAAGAGTGAGTGATTTCCGAGAAAGGAAGCGAAACTGGAGTTAGCGGCTTTACTCCCTAAAAATAAGGAAGTGCAGTCGCTCACCTCTCTCTTTCCTGAGAATAACTACAACTTTTTCCACTAGTTTGAAAAGTACTCTCCCTCATTCGTTTCGCGCTCTTAAAAACGATATGGATTTTGCTCTTATAAAGGAGTAGTTATCGATTGCACTTCCTCGTTTTTAGGGAGTAAAACCGTTAACTCTGGTTTTGCTCCCTTTCTCGGATATCGCTCACTTTTTTAGGAAGGTGATACTCATTCCCTTTTCCATGCACAGGAGGCGATCCTTCCACACTGGGTGACGTAATTATGGCACCCAATGTGGAAGGAGATGCTATGCGACGGAGTAGCACAGAAATACTCGTGAGGCGATTTGCAAGCGCGCGACCGCTGCTGCTGCTGTCAGGCCAGTGGTTCGTGCATCGTGACGATGCTAGGCCGCATACACTCTTAGGAAAAAGTGAGCGATGTCCGAGAAAGGGAGCGAAACTGGAGTTAGCGGTTTTACTCCCTAAAAAACGAGGAAGTGCAATCGGTAACTACTCCTTCATAAGAGCAAAATCCATATCTTTTTAAGAGCGGGAAACGAATGAGGGAGAGTACTTTTCAAACTATCAGTAGTAGAAAAGTTGTTCTCAGGAAAGCGAGAGGTGAGTGGCATTACTTCTTTGTTTTTAGGGAGTAAAATCGTTGACTCCAATTTCGCTCACTTTCTCGGAGATAGCTCACTCTTTTCAAAGAGTGCAGTGCCTAGGTGAAGAAGATCGCCACTGCTGCAGTGGACCCTCGTCGCAAGGAATTTCCTCCCAGCTGCAGCGAACCCTCATCGCAGGGACTCCACTCCTCCCGGCATTCTAGTCTCGGCTGGATCGTCCTCGGAAACGCATAGCATACGAAGGTCGTTACTTGTAAAAAGACACAGTTACGAATGATGCAGCTTAATACGGTACGAAATCATAGCATCGATCCACGAGCTTCACGATAGCCCCTCGTAGCAGCTCATCAACTTCCATCTGGGTCTGGTTATATTTCATCTGAATCTCATTCTCGATTTCATAATTACCCGAGGTTTCTTTAGCTCCAATTCATAGTGAACCTGATGGTGTCTCGGATTCAAGGGTCCAATTTGAGAAATTATTGCAATAGAAATGAAATCGAAGCAACCGTTGCATTGCGACTGCGGTGCCTCATAATTACTGCTAATGTTCAAATTACCATTGCTATTGCAATCATTGTACAATCACTGCAAATTTAATGCATTCTGGATTGCTTCACAATTATAATGTGCTTAAAATGCAACCTGATTGCTATCCGTGAAACATTCCGTTCAGAATTTCTCCTGTGTCACGACTGTGGGGTCAACGTCAATTTTTTATTTTACAGAAGGCAAGATCAATTATTTGGGTTTGACTGCTTCGGGAAGTCTGATGATATCGAAAGGGTTCCAATAATTTAATTTTGTGAACTGAAAATGCGTTCAGCGATGTCTGCACAGACAATGTACGGTGCATTCAGGGGTGGACTTTCACTTTCGGCGACATGGTGCACATGCGGAAGGAATAGAGCGCCGTAAACGGTCATGAATTGAGGATGTGACGCAACATCGCGGAGTTCGAGCAAGTAAGCATGGAGTAATCGTGGTTTTCAGAATACCCGTATATGCAGAACGTGCCCCAGTAGCAAGATCACGTTGAATCAACGTTTATTCAACGTCATTTCGTCAACGCAGCTAAAGTTGAAACAACGTTGACTGCCAACATTAATTCTATATTGAAAGTTCATTTTTATCAACAATTGATTCAACGTTGACATCAACGGTATATCAACATTGATTCAGTGTTCAAAAGCAACATTGCAACGTTGGTTCAACATTTGCTTATCAACGTTGACGCCATATTCAAACTTCATTTTCCTCAACATTGAACATATGTTGAATCCACGATGATTCAACGTTGATATGACAGGTCTCAACATTCCGATTATTTCGTGCGCATGCGCCGTTTCATGGCTGAAGTATTATTTGAATATCATCTTGACACGACCTCCATCCTGCGAATCCGCTTCTCTAAGATCCCCCCCATCCAAGGACAATGCGAACCTAATACTGAGATGAGAAAGAGGCATCCTGTTCCCCTGGAAGCAGGAAACCGGCGCGATTACGGTGATGTAATAAGAGGCTATCCTCACTCCACGTATCCTTCGGCAGTGATCATGATTTAGAGTCATCCTCGAAAACAGGGCACCGTGGTCTCGTGGAGTAATATGACCACGCAAACTTTTTTGTGTCCATTAGAATTATCCAGGGTCCTGTTCGGTTTGGTTGGCACATTGGTTGAATATATCCAGCAAGTCAAATACCTTCCCTGGCGTCGTATGTGGAGAAAATATCAAGTACTGCACCAAAAGTACTAGAGACGCGTACTGATAGCTTATAAATGGTAACTAACCACGTTGGGGAAGTGGTCGCCATCACATTTCGCAGTCAGGAAATCTTGTTTGTTCGCATGTCTCGCTAGATGTCTCGCCAGACATCTATACATGTAACGTTGACCGGACAACGTTCTCGCAATATTGCTGTCTTCAACATCGAGTCAACATTGAATCAACGTTGAAGCATTGATGCCATACTGAAGCTTCTTTTTAATTAACATATAAGCAATGCTGACGCAGGCGAAGTTGTTTCACGTGAGTCTGTCCATTCTTTCGATAACCTTTTGTACTTCTATACGTGTCAAAGGCATTCACCATACTCAGGTAGTCATGTTACGCAGCAATGATGAAAAAAAAAGATTCAAATAGGAAACACTGTACACGATAACCATGCACCATCAAGACTGTCTCAGAACAACACTTCTGCATTATTAATTAAGAAAACAGGAATGATTTCAGCAGCCATTACAGTTCAAGCTTAATTATTAGTCTTTTCATGAAAAAAGTAAAAAAAGGTGCATTGCGGCAAGTTTTCTCTGCAACCCCTCATCATACGGCATTAAAACTTAGCTCGATTTTACTATACATCAGTAAGAGTTCCTATGCCTCATTTCATGCCTCCCTTCTGGGATCAGGGAGATTAGTACGACCCCTCTCTCCACTGTTTAAATTGAGATGTTCAGCAAGCTTTATTTCTGAATATTCATCAGACTCCCTTGAAACTCTAATCGATGTCATGACACTACATGTACGAGTACGCGTACCAAATTTCATTAAGATCGCTCAACTTCTCTTGGCGTTTTTTTTTTTGGCGATGAGTGCACTTTCATTTATGGGGGTGTTCATATTCTTATGGCTGAGCTCTGTTCATACGCAAATAAATTTTGTGAGAATGGTGATCTCCGTGACGAGAAACGTATTCGCCGCCTCTGTGCACGCCCGTTCGAAACGGTTTTTGCGATTGCGGAAGCATTGCAGCGTCCACTCGAGTCACTCCGCAGGCTGTCGAGCCAGATTGGCATCAGCTATTGCAGTATGCCTGGGGTAAGTGGGACGCCCGGGGCAAGTGGAAACCCCCCTTGTTTTTTTCAGCTTATTTCAACTATCTGATTGGAAAGAAAGTTCTCGGAATTTCATGAACAATTATTACAACCCAGTTTATTTAAAAGTAAAATCATCTCAATCATGAATGTAATCACCATTGGCCTCTATCACTTCACGCCAACGTTTATGCAAACTATGGATGCCATTCCAATAGAACTCTGGCGGCTGCGCTACGAAAAAGTTGGCCAAATCGGTTTTCAGGTCGTCTTGGTTGGCGTACTGCTTTCCACCCATGTGACGGTCCAGGGCAACGAAAAGGTGATAATCGGACGGGGCAAGGTCGGGGCTGTAGGGCGGATGCGGCAGCACCTCCCAGCACAGGTCCAGTAACTTTAGATGAGTCTGTCTAGCGGTGTGCGGCCGGGCATCGTCGTGGAGGAGGATGGTTCTCTGTCTTTCTGGGCGTGTTTCAGCCAGTTTCTGCTGCAGCCGATCAAGTTGCTGGCAGTAGTAGGCAGCAGTGATGGTGGTGTTTTGCGGCAACAGCTCAAACATGATGATGCCTTTCGAATCCCAGAAGACCGAGAGCATAATCTTTTTGGGGTGCAACTCCTGACGGGGTTCTCTTTCGGCCGATGCTCCGGCGTCCACCCACTGACGTTTTCGTCGAATGTTGGCATAGAAGGTCCACTTTTCGTCGCCTGTCACCACTGAGTCTAGCCAATCCGTTCGGCGCGAACGTGACAGAAGGGAGATGGCCATGTCTACTCGTCGCTGGCGGTCCCGATCATCCAGCTTGTGGGGTACCCAGCACCCCAACTTTGCCTTCTTGCCAAGCTCAGCCAGATGATGAAGGATAGTTGTATGGGAGACACCCAGCAAGTCCGCAAGCTCTCGCGATGTTTGCCGGTTGTTGGCCTCCAGTGCCTCCTGCAAGGCAGAGTTATCAAACTCCGAAGGACGACCGGTGCGTGGCTGGTCTTCCAGGCTTTCATTTCCTTTCTGGAAGCGACTGTACCAATCATAGGCAGTGCTCTTGGACAGTGTCCGGGCCAAACGCGGTATTGATGTCAGCGATGGAATTGGCTGCCTTCTTCTTGATTCGGAAGTCATAAAGAAGAAGCAGGCGAACTTGCTCCTTAGTAAGAGGGTAGGGCTGGTTCATGGCTGGAGAGCACCAGGGCTGTAATAATATACGGTTGTATGCCAAAGGATACGATAGATACCTACTTATAAACACACGCAGAACATTCTAGCATGCTCTGGAAAAAAATTGTACTGGATATTCAAGAAATTCCGAGAACTTTCTTTCCAATCAGATATAAAGGAAAGTTACCTGTTTCTTCCATAGCAATCATGTAGTAAGCTGTCTTGCACAATATATCTCACCCGCCTTTATCAAGCATTCTTAAAATGCCAGGGATGAAAGCCCAATCATAGCAAACAGAACTGACACGAGAGTGTAAGGCCGATATTTTGAATAAGACTTTGAGCCACCTCAAAATGAGTTTCCCTGAAAAGTCAATGTTCAGCTGAAAGCTCATAGACTATATTACGGAAAATGTTGGGTGAGTTAGGTACTTTTCTGCTAATACTCGATTCATGAGGGGAGACCCACTTGCCATAGCAAAATTCACTACGCGGGGCAAGTGGGTACCCCCCCCCTCTGGGGTGAGTGGGACCCCCTCCATCCATCATCACCTAACCATGTGGACGTGAGCGACTGGGTGACTGACGCTAATGTAATGGAAGTAAGTTATGCTTTACTTCAAAATCTCAATATAAAAACTGAATCTACTCACTCTCACCACTGAAATCATGCCAAGATCAATCAGATTGGATATTACCTTTGGGAGATATGGCTTTCTGAAGAGAACCCCATTTTTTAGTTCAAAATTCAGTTCTCCCCCATGTATTAGGCATTTACATTTTTTTTTTAAGAATTACAGACACATTTTTTTTACAAGTGAGATCTTCTACCAATACCTGCTTTAAAAAAAAAATTTAAATATCACTAATAGTGATATAGCCAGGTCAAATTCAAAGTAACTGTAAAGAAAAAAGTTAATCATAAAATTGCCAACACCAACCAATTATGACATCATGGAGGAGAGGGAAGTTGGATTGAAATGATGGCTTGCTAGAAGCACGACCAGTCCTTGAATACTGAGCCCTCACATGGAATGTCAGCAGTTTCCTAGACACATTCTTTGTGGAAAGATGTGGTGTATCTGCAGTGCATCTACTCAGGACCTGTATCTGATATTGATGAAAGGATTAATTCATTAACTAAATCAATGGCTTTCAGAGAAGCAGGAAGGAGACCATGCATAATACTGTATACTAACTATATGCACATTTACATGTATAAATATGCATATATAACTGCAAACCATACAGCATGAAACAGAGAATATGCATAACTTTGGAATTAATAAGTTCTTCAGTAATACCCAAATTACATTGAGCTGTAAAAATCAGCATGTTAGGATAAAATTAAGCAGAATTTTCATGTGAATTCCATATTACTAACCAGGTTTGTCTTAAGTTCCTTTCTCTTCAAGTTTTCATTCCACTGTCTAAGGTCATCTTCTGAGTCAAGCGGAAAAGTTGGCAAGTCTTCAGGAAGCTGAATATCAGTGAGTTGAGGGCTGAGCTCAATGGGCTCCCAAGAGTGTTCCGGAGCTTCTTGACCTCTTGGCTCAATCCAGATACATGTTCTCCAAGATTGTGAAGGGTGCGAAACACTTTCCGCTGGAACTCTAACGAGGGGACAGAAAGAAATCAGATCCATGATTTATTAATCACACTGCATTAAACCATCTCTGTAGTTGAATTATAGATAACAAACAGTAGACAAACCTTCTTGAGACAGTCCAGTCACAGAAGGGATACTCAAGGGCCACCCATCCTTTTTGGATCTTTCTCCTACAGAAAATGAAGAGAAACGAAAGAAGACCCAAATAGATACTCCCAATTATTCTTATAATGATCATACCAAGTTGTAAATGGAATGACCACAACTGAAATTTCATTCAATCACTCCTATCATTTCCTTATCCCACCATTCCCACTTGTAGTTGTGGTTCAAGCAGGCCAAAGAGCATCTTCTGATGCTCTTAATCCTATACAATTAATGCTAGATCAGCAAGTGGGGTGCTGGGCCTCTCCCGTCAAAACACTTTCTTACAAAGTCATTCCAAATTGTACAAGGGCTGCTGACTGGTCTTTTGCTGGTCATCTTGGACTGAAATACTCTTTTTAGATAGTCCCTCAGGAAGCATGCAGCAGACATGTCCAAACTATTGGACTAGAAAACCATCAATTCAGAAATATTTCTGACCCAAGACTCCTAGTGGATGCCATAATTCTGTATATCAACATGTAAATCAAGCCACATGATGCAAGTCCAGTGACATGATTCTTCTTAATATCTTTCTCATACCCACTTCATTTCTTACTTATCATTCTATTACTTTTGACCACAAGTGAATGAGTAGGAGTGAGGAATTTAAAAAGTTTTGAAATTCTTGGAAAGTTTTGCAACCACTGAAAAAATCCCAGTAAAACTGCAGAAAACATAGATGTGTGATTTTCACAGCACCTGTCATTGGAGAACTCAAGTTTGAGAATTTAATTTCTCCCCATGGCAGCCTGCATTATTTGCAGCAAGCAATGCACAGGAATTATCAATGGTCCCATAACCAGAGTCTGGAGCCCA